AGGTTAGAATTACTCTGTGATGTGTGTGGTTCCCCTCAGGTGAGAATCAGAAATGAAATTGCTACATTTTGGTATTGTCATTGTTTTAAGTTTTACTAATTGTCTACAAAAAAAATTAAGACTGCCTTTGAGTTTGGTCTTACTTGATCTCCTATGTATTTTCTTCCAATTATTTTCCAATCTTATTTAGATCCATTGCTGTCTTTCTATAAAAAAATGTTTTGTATTGTCCCTTTTGCTAACTTGAAGTGAAAATTATGGTTAATATTACATATCTACATAATTTCAAAAGGTCATTATAATACCTTATTATAATGAAGAAATGGAAGGAAAGCAATTTATAATAAAATGTATATTTCAGTATGTAAATACTCAGGCAGACTACTCTAGATGAGACAAGAAGTTGTCAAATGCTTGCCCCATAGAGTCATTTGTAGAGTCACTATGAATGATAGCTGTGAAATCTGATTGATAGTGTTTTATATTGGTGATTCCAGATAACCAAGTGGCATTGACATGGGTGATGTGATTTTCCAAAATAGTGAACAATTCTTAGTAAAGTTCTGAACAAAACAGATTTATTGTATGGTTGCCTTCTGAGAAATTTGGGATACATTAACAACTATGGAAAAATACATTTTGTTTACATATTAAGTTCTAGTCTTAGATGTATTCATTGGAGCCTTTGGAAGCCACCCAGAACATGTGACAATTCTTTGCCATACTGAATTGTTTCCTGCATTGCTAGACTTCTAATATCCCTGACACTTCCCATTAAATGGTAGTAGAGCTTTCACCTTACTGTGTCCTGCATCAGTCCCCAAAATGCCTTCACATATATCCAAAGGGCCCTCTAGGTGGCAGTGCTGCTACCATTTTGAGACCTAATGGTTTTAGAGTATCCAGCTACATATATCTACTATATGGCTATGTTGCTCATGGAATTTTATTTTATTTTATTAAAAAAATTTTTAAAGTTTCTTTATTTCTGAAAGAGAGAAAGAGAGAGAGAATGCGAGTGGGGGAGAGCAGCAGAGCAAGGGAGACACAGAATCTGAAGCAGGCTCCAGGCATCGAGATGTTAGCGCAGAGCCAGATGTGAGGCTTGAACTTACGAACTGTGAGATCATGACCTGAACCGAAGTCGGGGGCTTAACCAATTGAGCCACCCAGGTGCCCCAGTCGTGGGATCTTAAAACTACAATAACTTAAGTATCCTGAGTCCTTAAATATGTCATGTTTTGAATAACTAAGACAACTACAGAATTATTAATTATGGGAGAAGTTGATTCATTCAAACGCATCACTGTTTCATTGTAATTCTTGTAAGCAGATCAGTAAGTTTACTACTTTAAGTACCCAATACCAGCATTTTTATTTTTTCCACTTTTCCTGTTTAGTAAGTCAGTAGTATATAACTTTCTTTAATGTCAGCATTTAGTTAGTTGATAGTCATACAATGTAATTTGTCCCTTAAAGAAATCTTTTTATTTTTTTTAATGTTTATTTATTTTGAGAGAGAGAACACCATGCATGTGTGAGTAGAGGAGGAGGAGGAAAGAGGGAGGGAGGGAGAGAGAGAGAGAAAGAAAGAGAGAGAGAGAATCCCAGGCAGGTTCTGTGCTGTCAGTGCAGAGCCTGATGCTGGGCTGGATCTCATGAACCCATGAGATCATGACCTGAGCCAAAATCAGGAGTCTGATGCTCAAATGACTGAGTCACTGAGGCACCACAAAAAACCCACTTTTGATTTAGGAAGATAATATAGTAACATTATAGAAACTTTGTAAAATGAAAGCAAAATTTCCCATAAGCTTATCACTGACATATTTTCCCGTGTTTGGTTCTCTGTGTGTATATTTTGACATTCAAAAATTAGTTTTGTATCTTTTAACTTAATGTGGCATAACTTTTTAATGTTATTATGTAACTTCCAACTATATTTTAAGCTACTGCATATTCTCAGATTCCACAATTTTCCTACTTTGTTCACATGATAAAAATGTAATAATATGTATTTAGATCTGTTTGTATATATGTGTATTGATAGATCTGTTTCAGTATATTATTTTTTCTCAGAAGTAGGATCATTTATTAAGTCATTAAACTTGAACATTTTGGTAACTTTTATGTATTGCCAAATTGACATTATAAAAAAGCTGATCCAGGAGCACCTGGGTGGCTAGGTCAATTAAATGTCTGATTTTGGCTCAGGTCATGATCTCGCAGTTCAAGAGTTCAAGCCCCACATTGGGCTCTGTGCTGACAGCTCAGAGCCTGGAGCCTGCTTCGGATTGTGTGTCTCCCTCTCTCTCTGCCCCTCCCCCTCTTGCGCTCTGTCTCTGTCTCTCAAAAATAATAAACATTAAAAAAATTTTAAATCTGATCCCTTTATACCGCTATCAACATGTATGTCACTATATATGGAAGTGTGAGTCTCAACTCATTCTTGACTGCATCAGAAATTACTTTTATTTACATTTATTTGACTTATGACACTGAACATTTTTTATGCTTATGAATTATTTGTTTTCTCTTTTGGAAAATATATGGTCATGTCCTTTGATTGTTGTTGGGTTCATGGTGTTTTTTTTTTCCCCTTTTCATTTTGAATCAGACCAAAATTTTGCGTAATTAAAACATTGATGTTTCTTACATTCATTTTTATGGCAAACTTTCCTTTGCTGTCTTTTATTTTATTTTATTTTATTTTATTATTTTTTAATACATTGAGGTTTCATTATCTACCCATAGAAGATAATATGTGATATCAAAGAAAGGGGTGGAGAGTGAAGAAATCAGGTTCTGGAGGGAGATATTTATAATATTGTATCTGACAAAGAACTCATATTCAGAATGTATGTTATGAATGCTTACAAACATTAAGAAAAAGGCAGACAACCCAGCTTCCAAAAATGAGAAAAAGCCCTATACCCAGATGTCTCAGTCATCTGGAAGTGTGCATGCTGAATGAATTCATACTGATTTTATATTACCTGTGTAGACATACTCAAAAGGGTATATTTTGGGTGAAGATTTATTTCATTATAAAACCACATTTATATTAAGTTTTGGTGATACAAGTGGAGTCACTGTGTTAGTGTGGCCAGTTTAGATTTTACTGTGCTTTTTTTTTTTTGGAAGAGAGGTCAGTTTCTTTTTGCCTTACCCTGCCTTTTGTAGGAAATGATTGCAGGTTCTTTGCTTATTGAGTGTAATGTAAATTTTTACTATCCACCTGCTACATATTTCCTGGGAAGAATCCTTCATCAGAGATCAGTAATCTCTTTAGCTCATAGTGTCTTTAACAGGATTAATTTGTATCTTGGGTTCCAGTGACTCCATCGAGGTATGAGAGAATGGGAAGAAAACAGAAAGGAAATGAGAAATTCGGGGGTGAAAATGTAACACACAAAAAAGCATGCAAAAACCCCCACATCAAACACATAAATTCACGTGATTGTTTTTCTTCTTCACCATGGAATATATTCTAAATTATTTTTATCCTTATAAATTGAATAATTATAAGAAGTTCTTTCCTGCCTTGTGACAAATACCTGTTTTGGACATGTTCATCTCACTTAATCAGCCTCCCAGCATTAGTACCTGTTTCTGCTTACTCCTTCTGTGTTTGGTTATTCTCATGTTGTAGAATCTACTAAAAAATACAGTAATGTAAGCATAAATCTGTTCTTTCAAGGGGCGTCTTTTAATCAATCTTTTTACATTCCCTAACATCTCTTCTAATTATGTAATGAAGTCTGTCCTTCCTGGTATAAATAACCTCTCTAAGCTCTGTCAACTCCCTTCTCGCGTAAGTATGTACATATGTATGTACATACATATATACATACATACATACATACATACATAGTCCTCTCCCCTCCTTCTTGAATAATACCTCTTCATACAAGATTAGAATACACTAATCAACCTGACATCCCCTTCTTAGAACTTCTTTCCCCTTGACTACTGAATTCTCAAAGGGTATTCACTTATTGAGGCAAATTCATAACATGGGCACATTTTTCCCTGTGGAAATCGCAGGGATTCAGTATCTTCCCTTCCTCCCAGGCCTCAAACCCTACCTGTTTGCCTTTCCTCAAGGATACTATATAATATCATTGAATAGCTTTGCAGTTGAATAGTCTTTCTGAATTTGGGACCTTTTTTCTCCTCAGAACTATCATCTCTTGAATTTGAGCATCTCTGATACATTCAAATCTTTCTTCACTTGTGTACCCTTTCATGATCGTTCCCTAACATATATTTCAGTATTTCTTATTCAAGAAGATACACTCCCCACTTACCTCCACACCCTCACTCCCACACTTTTACAACTCTGGCCTGTGACATTAGTATTTTCAGGTATCTTGAATACAAGATAATGAAGTATACTTAACTTTCTAGGTTCTTAGTGAGACATGTAGTCTTTTGATAATACTGTTCAACTTTCTTTTCAGCATTTTCTTTGAATGTGAATTGTGTCCTTTTCTGGAAGAACTTGAATGTATATTGACTGTGCAATCATTCAAAGTATTATTTTTACGTTCTGAGTACATCTACTGATTTACCATTGCAAAAAGCTGTTATGATATATTTATTTTAATTTTCATCAACTACAGAGGACAGTATCTTGTACCTTATTTCTGTTTACTTTTATGAAAAACTATTGCTGCAACTACTCCAGTGAAAACAGTTTCTTATCACTCCTAAATATTAGACAAGCCTTCTCTGCTGCTTACCTCATCTGTGTTTACTAGTTATATTTGGAGAATTCAAACTAATTTTATTATGCTAGGTAAAAACTTAATGAAAAAGGGAATATCTGTTCCAAAAATTCAAATATAAATTGCTTTTGTGTGATCTGTAGTTGCAGATTAACCATTTCACAAACTTTTAGAGGGATATTTGAGAATTGGTATTAATAAAGATACAAGAAAAATAATCATGTCATAATGTATGAAGAGAGATGTTAAATTCATCTTTGCTTTGTTTAGATGTCCCTGGTAGATTTGGGGAAGAAGCTTTTAGAAGCGGCACGAGCAGGTCAAGATGATGAAGTTCGTATTTTGATGGCAAATGGAGCTCCTTTTACTACAGACTGGGTAAAGAATGATTTTAATGTTGTACTCTTTTTTTTTCTTTCTTCTTCTGTTTAGTTTTTTCAGATAAAGTCAGTATTGTATTTATATGTAACAAAAATTTTTTTTTTGCAAATTTGTAGTTTTAGAATTATAGCTGTCTTTTAAAGGAAATGATTTGTATCTTTATGTCATGTATATATGACAACCTTATCTAGATATTCTGTCTACAAAAGGGTTTTTCTTTTAAACTATGGAGTTCAATATTGTAGGGTGAATATAAAATGTAGCTGCTTGGAATTTAATTTAAAGCTTATAAATGGCACAGGTAGAATTTATAATTCAGAAAATAACAGATAAAGATTGAGGTTAAGGTGATAATTGCTCCTAAAAAGGAAATATATTCATATTTCAATTGATACTTGTAACACTATTGCAAACATGATCAAAGAGGAAGAAAGGAATGGGAACATGTTCCTAGTAACTACAGAAGGCAATTGTGAGGAAGATAAAAACCGTAACTGTACTTAATTCCTGGGGTAAGTCAAAAGAGATGGTCTTGGGAGTGTTGAAGGGTTAGGAATCTGGATTAACCTACCTAACTGGGAACAACTAAAAATTCCAGATTTTTGATTTTGTTGTTTCTGGTATACTTGTCCTATGCTCTTTTTTGTTTTTCATTAAAAACAAAAAAATTTTTATTATGGAATATTTCAAGTATCTATCAACCCCTGCATACCCTTCAGCCAGCTTCAAAAATTACCAAATATACCAAAAAATGATGAATCTTGTTTCCTCTATAACTTCATCCACTTTTTGTTCTGTATTATTTTAAAGCAAATTCTATGAAATATTTTATTTCATCCATAAATATTTCAGCATTTGTCTTTCTAAAAGATAAAGCATTTTTTCATTAACTGTTTAAAAAAAAATCTTCTTTACTGTACTAATGAGTTAGAAAGAAAATAAGGAATTATTAACTTGCAAAACTAAGCAAACAACCAGAATCCAGAGAATTTTGACCCTAAGAATATTTGCTGAACTCCGTGAATTTGCCTGTTGTTTGCCCACCTCACTGGCATGGGTTTCTGGAGACAGAGACCTGAGACTGCTCATAGAAGCCTCCTAAGAAATCCTCTCCTCATAATTCTGGAATCCCAAAGAGATGCACCTTCTGTGTAAGCGTAAACCAGAAATGCCCTTTCCCTCTTCCTACCTACTTCTGTCCCTGCCCTTGCCCTGTTGTTAGGGCACTGCAAGGAAAATGAACTGAGTTGAAACAAGTCATCAAATGGAAAGAAAAAAAATTATTAATGAGGATTTGGAGTCACAAGCCATCCCTGGACACATTTGTCACCTGAACTCATAAATTCTTGTGCATTCTGAAAAACTGTACACTGAAAAATGAATTTAAAATAATCTTTGGACTGAGGTTACCCCAGGTTCCTGGAAGAAGCAAATTAATATTCTTCCCGGGGAACCTACCTTCATCACAGTATACACAAATGAAATTTCAAGGAAAATGAACAGTCAAAAATGACTAAATGCACAAGGACACAAAGCAACTTGGAAAATAACTCACTGGAACAACTAGCACCAGAGCAGATTAACAAGGATTTTAAGTTTATTTATTTATTTATTTTGAGAGAGAGAGAGAGAGAGAGAGAGAGTGAGCGAGCATGCACCCATGTGAGCAGGAGGGGGGCAGAGAGAGACAGGAAGAGAGAGAATCCCAAGCAGGCTCTGTGCTGTTAGCTTGGAGCCTGATGCAGAGCATGACACAGGGCTCTATCTCACGAACTGTGAGATCATGACCTGAGCTTTATTTATTTTCTTTATTTTTATTTAAAATAATTTTTTAATGTTTATTTTGAGAGAGAGAGAGAGAGAGACAGAGTAGGAGTGAAGGAGAGGCAGAGAGAGAGGAAGACACAGAATCTGAAACAGGCTTCAAGCTCCAAGCTGTCAGCACAGAGCCTGACGTGGGGCTTGAACCGACAAACCATGAGATCATGATCTGAGTTGAAGTCAGGTAGTTAACCAACTGAGCCACCCAGGTGCCCCTCTAGATAAGATTTTAATAGATTAGGAACAGCTAAAGAGAAAGCTAATAAACTGAAAGGTATGAAAAAAAATCCAGAATACAGAAAAATAGAAAATTTAAGATCTCAGAAGTCATGAAGGCTGGTATGCGAAAGTCTAATGTATCTAATAAAAAATCCACAAGGATAGTGAGAAGAGGGATGAAATAATTTTAAGAGATAATGGGTGGGATTTTTTCCAGAACTGGTGAAAGAGAGCAGCTCAGATTCAAGTAGCCCAGCTAATCTGTAGGAGGAACAATTAAAAAAAAAATCTATATCTAAACATATCATAGTGATACTATAGTGTATCAAGACAAAAGGATCTTAGAAAAAAAATTTTTTAATGTTTATTTTTGAGGGAGATAGAGTGGGTGCATGCATGGGAGTAGGGGAGGAGCAGAGAGAAAGGGAGAGAGAATACCAAGCAAGCTCCACACTGTCAGCGTGGAGCCTGATGTGGGACTAGAACCCACGAATTGTCAGATCATGACCTGAGCTGAAATCAAGAGTCAGATTCAACCAACTGAGGCACCCAGGCACCCCCAGACAAAAGGATCTTAACAAGGGTTAGTATCAATAACACATAATGAATTCCCATGACAGCAATAAAAAAGACACACAAGGCAAAGAAGACTGGGCAAATGACTTGTTACGGGCAAATGAAAGAGAAAGTTCAGATGACCAATAAATGTGAAAAGATGCTCAACTACATTAATAATTGGGCAAATACAAAGTAAAATCATGAAATGCTATTGCATATCTACCAGATTTGCCAAAAAAAGCTTAGCAGTCTCAGACATTGGTGAGGATATGTGTAAATTGCTATAAACATTGTGGAGGACAGTTTGGCAGTTCCTAGTAAATTTGAACATGTACATGATCTATGATGCAGCAATTGAACTTACAAGAATACTTCCCAAATTGGGGTACCCGGGTGGCTCAGTCAGTTGAGCGCCTGACTCTTGATTTCAGCTCAAGTCATGATCCCAGGATTGAGGGATTGAGCCCCACGTCTGGCTTCACACTGAATCCTGCTTGGGATTCTCTTTCCCTCTCTGCTCCTGTACCCACTCGTGTGTATACTCTCTCTCTCTTTCTAAAAATAAAAATAAAAATAAAAATAAAAATAAATATAAAAAAAGAATGTTCCCCAAAGAAACTCTTGAATAGTGCTTGCCATGGAAAGTGCTTTAACAGAAATCTTACTTGCTATTATTATAGTAGTGATCTTAACAAATTTCATGTTCTAGTGAACTATCTTGGTTCTTTGGAACATCAGTGCCTTTGGTAATCAGAGTTAATAGGGACTTTCTATGCCTCTAAATGTGTGTAACTTAATTCTGACTTTCACCTATTAAAGTATATGCCTCTGATAAGGTTCTTCCTAACTTACATTTTACTACTTCCCCTGCATACTGTGAATTTAATGTTATTATAGTGGCTATACCACATGCAAGAGTTTCAGGAGAACTGGGCTCTGTTTTGGGTCTGTCCTGACTCACCTTTGGCAAGTATACCTCAGCAGGTTTTTCCCTTGAAAAATGATTATATGAACTTCTTTAAAAAGATCACTGAGTTGCTTTAATAAATTTATTTTTTTAAGTCCTTCAAAAACAATTTAATGCAAAATCTACACTATTATATTTATTTGATATGAATTTTATAGATGAAAATTAGTTTTGTGTGACTGATATGGGGAAAACATTCCAGTACTTAGAAAAATTTCTCAAACCCTAATTATCTCTAATTTATGATGAAATTAATTTTGTTCATGCTATTTATCTGTTAAAAAATAAAAAAGCAAGTTTGAATTAAATAAAATACTGACTTTTCTTCCTCATTGAGAAATGTGTGGGAATTCCTCTAGGATGAATATGTGGTAAGCATAAATTATTTTCTTGAGTTTTGAGTTACTCTGTAAACAGATAATATAATCTGTTTGCTATGTAAACAGAAAATATAAACTAGAAGGTAGTAATAGAAGTGTGTTAAAAAACGGTTATAGGGGAGCCTGGGTGGCTCGGTCAGTTAAGTGCCTGACTTTGGCTCAGGTCATGATCTCGTGGTCCGTGAGTTCAAGCCCTGTGTTGGGCTCTGTGCTGGCAGCTCAGAGCCTGGAGCCCACTTCGGATTCTGTGTTTCCCTCTCTCTTTGTCCCTCCCCTGCTCACTCTCTCTCTCTCTCTCTCTCTCTGTCTCACTTGCTCTCTCTCAAAAATAAATATAAAAAAAAAAACAAACCACAATTATAAATGTGGATTTTTTTTTTCTTGCGGTATAGCTGGGAACCTCTCCACTTCATCTGGCAGCACAGTATGGGCATTACTCCACCACAGAAGTACTACTCCGAGCTGGTGTAAGTAGGGATGCGAGAACCAAAGTGGACCGAACGCCATTACATATGGCAGCTTCTGAGGGCCATGCCAGCATAGTAGAGGTTTTGCTTAAGGTATGTGTTCTCTTTTTGCACTTTGCTTTTGAAAGTAAGCCTTCAAAGGATTTATGGTTTTGTAAGAGGGAGAAGGGAACTAGTTTTATTAAATATCTACTTTTTTTTTCTATGTTACCTCATTTTTTTTGTATGTAATTCCATCAAATGAAAATTATCTTAAAACTTTCTTTGTGGAAGAAGAACTTCCTCTAGGTATGTTCTTAGTTAAGTCAGACAGTTGATTTCTGAGACCTTGGTTTCCATTATGATGACGGACTATGGTTTTGTCTGACTTGACACAGTTAAAATATGGAAGGAAACATAAGGCTTGATTAACAAATAAATAATACAAATAAGGATTTTTATTATAGCCTTTAGATCAACTTACCCAAAAGACATACAATATGTAAGCCACAAATGTGAACACATGTAATTCTAGATTTTCTATTACCTACATTAAAAAAGTAAAAACTAATTTTAATATTATATTTTATTCAACCTCATATATATAAATATTGTCATTTCAACATGAAGTCAATGTAAAAATTGTTAATGAGATATTTTACATCCTTTTTTTTTTTGGTGTTAAGTCTTTGAATTCCAGTGTGTGTTTACATACTTAGTACATTTCGATTGGGACTAGCTATATTTCATGTGCTTAACCACATGTGTGTAGTGGCTGCCACATTGGACAGTACATCCCTGATAGCTCCTTTTTTATTTATATAAAGGATATATTTTATTTTATTTATATATAAATATATATATTTTATATTTATATATTATATATATATTATATATATATTTTATTTATATAAAAGGATAGCTCCTTTTATTATTTATATTATACTGGTTTTGAAAGCAGAGGCTATCTCTATAAATAAGGGAGTAGAATTAAAGAGGGTTTTGGAGGAGTGCTCATAGCAGTCCTTCACTTCTTATGCCATTTTATGTCATGATGTTCACCTCTGGGTGAGTGAAAAAATCATTGCTGCACTCTTAAGAAATTAGAAGGAAAACAGTTGGCAAAGTTAGCATGATAGAAAACTGATTAAGTGACAGATGTGTGGAGATCTGTGGAACATACAGATTATTCAACACAAAAAATAGCCGATCATGTTAGTAGCACATTATTGCTTTAAAGCATAGTGGCTAGTATTTTCCTATTTGGAATTCTTTATATTTCATATTGTAGAAATATCTTATTTTGCAATATATTTATAGCATGGTGCTGATGTTAATGCAAAGGACATGTTGAAGATGACAGCTCTGCACTGGGCCACAGAACACAATCATCAAGAGGTGGTGGAACTTTTAATCAAATATGGTGCTGATGTACACACGCAAAGTAAATTTTGTAAAACTGCATTTGATATTTCAATAGACAACGGGAATGAAGATTTGGCAGAGATATTACAGGTAACCTTTGGCTTTAATTTGAGAAAATAAAAGGATCTCTGTCTTGGGGTGATTTGAGCTATTTAGCTTCTAGCTTTTCATTTTGGATTTCGTTATTTTGGACAGTCCTTTCCTCTTTCACTTACTCTTTGTTCATTGCTATTCATTTTTCTGAGACCATAGTCTTTACATGTAACATTAGAAGATTAAATAAGGTGTTTCTGTGTTTTTAAGTTCCTGAATTCCCCTTCTAGACATTTTATTCTATTAATTATTTTTGTTGCATATTTGGATACAGTGTGGTTTTTCAAAATATGTTAAACTTCCACTAAAAATTTTCTTTAGCAACTATAACATTGCCCTCTGAGTAATTGATGCAGTCTTTATAATTTTGATTGGTTTCTTTTATTTTTCATCATCCTCAAAAAAAAATCTGTTTATGAGCCTAGTTACTTATGGCTTTTGGGCAAGGTTTTTTTTTTTTTCATGTTTATTTTTGAGAGAGAGATTAAGAGAGAGAGAGAGAGAGAGAGAGACCAAGCACAAATGGGGGAGGAGCAGAGAGAAGGAGACACAGAATCTGAAGCAGGCTCCAGGCTCTGAGCTGTCAGCACAGAACCCGACGTGTGGCTCGAACTCATGAACTTTTGAGAGCACAACCAGAGCTAAAGTTGGGTGCTTACCCGACTGAGCCGCCCAGGTGCCCTGAGACAGGTTTTTTAAATAACCAGTATTGCCTCTCTTTTCTTTAGCTACACAACATTGATGTAAATTATCTTTACTCAGAACCTCTTGCCTATCTTCTTGTTCTCCTTCCCAGTAGAACTTTTCTTTAAGACACTTCTGACTCTACTGAAAAGATGTTATAGTTCAGGAAGATGAATTTTGTGGTGCCTCTTGGAATTCTTTTACTCCTAGGAGTGCAATTTGGGGGCCAGGGTTGAAGATAGAAAAGAATTAATTGGGGAGGACATGCTTTATTTATTTATTTTTTCCCTTCAAATTTTTATTTAAATTATATTTAATTAACATCCAGTGCAATATTGGTTTCAGGAGTAGAATTCAATGATTCATTCACTTATGTAAAACACCCAGTGCTCATCATAACAAGTGCCCTGCGAAGGACATGCTTTATATGTATAATGTTATATATTGCTGAATATAGTAGAGGAAATAATTTAAGTAATATAATTTCTATAGCCACAGGGCAGCAAAATATCCAACTGTGTTCTATAAAAGCCTTTCAGATATTCTTTTCTCATGGGATTTTACTGCTTTACCTAATAGGGAATTAGGATGTAAATTCCTGTCTCTGATTTACCACTATGCTCTCAGTAGACTGTATACAAAGATTTTCATTTGTATTATAGGATTCTTCTTAAATTTTAGAATTTCCTTTGTGTTTATACTGAATTGAGAATCTGTGCCCTGTGTTCTGGTTGTAATTCTGAAAACACTGTGTTGATTTGGCCCTTAGATTGCTATGCAGAACCAAATCAACACAAACCCTGAGAGTCCTGACACTGTGACGATACATGCTGCCACACCACAGTTTATCATCGGACCTGGAGGGGTGGTGAACCTAACAGGTCTGGTATCTTCAGAAAATTCATCCAAGGCAACAGGTATTGAGATGCATATAGGATAGCTGTTGGGATTTTATGCTTTAGTAGGTGTTCCTCCTTTTATGAAAGGACTGTTGGAGAATGAGGGTAAGATTATATCAGTCACTTGGTTTTCTTTCGTATTGGCAAAAAAAGATTTTTATGAGACAATATCAAGAAAGATGATATTGCAAAATGAGCTACAATATTATCTTTCAAAAACTAATGCTATCAAAGCTTGTCTTTCACAAAACTATTATCCAAGCTTCTTTTAAGAATTGAATAAAGCAAAATAGAATATCAGAAAAATGCAGTAGAATTAAGCTCCTTTAAAATTAAAAACATTTTAAATCTATTTTCTCTTTTCTTGTAGATGAAACAGGTGTATCAGCTGTTCAGTTTGGAAACTCCTCCACATCAGTATTAGCTACGTTAGCTGCCTTAGCTGAAGCATCTGCTCCATTGTCCAATTCTTCAGAAACTCCAGGTTAGAAAAACAAGTCAAATGCGTACATTAAAAGGTTGGAGACTCAAATATTTACAAGGCTAGGAAGATAATATAAAGGGCTAAAGTGAGCAGATTTCAGATTATGGCCATGTGAAGGCAGGGGGCCAGGGTAGGGGGGTATAATTTGTTGTCATTCATTATTTAAATTAGTGTGTTTTCAAATTGTGATCAATAATAAAAATAACAACAACAGATCATTGAATGCTTACTGTGTATGCTGTGCACCATGGTAAATGTTTTACTTATGATCTCATTGAATCCTCACCCAAAAGCTTGAAGGTCTTCATTACTGGATTTGACTCATTATGGTGTTCTGATTGAAAGGTGTATTTTTTTCAGGGGGAAAAATGTACCTACCTCTCTCTTCTCTCTCTCTCTTTTTTTACTAACTAGTGCTTATAAACATTTATCTATTCTCCAGTTTCAGCTTCATAATCAATGTTTGAATCTACACCTTTTTATTTGGGAGTCTTAAGATTTTTCAGAATCCCTGTTGATATGCTGCTTTTATAGCCTATACCTAGATCTCCTTAGCATCTTTGTCATTGCATAAGCATAGCAAAGAAGATTAATTTCATTGGTGGTTTCTATTTGGTTAAACTTTAAATTTTTTGTCTGAAAGTATGTATCTCTGAAAATTAAGCAGGTATTCTTGAAGGTCATCTGAAATTTCGACACTTAGATATTTGGCTCCATGAGTTAGTCATACCAACTTCTCTAACTTCTACTTTTGAAAATGTTATATATGGTCTAGTCTGAGAGATTAGGAATTTCAGTTGACTTTTATTGCATGTGGCATACAATCTTCTGAGCGCAGTTTTTCATTTTAATGCTACATCATAGTGGAATCTTTCTGAAGATATTTTAAGAGCTTGAATTAAGTTAAAGTTCAGGTGAGTACATTGCCACCAGTGTAAATAACTCAGCTGAGGTGTGAAATCAGATAAAGAAATATCTTCTCACCACTTAATTTCTACATGCTCAGGCTAATTATTTCTTGACGGTTCAATTTCTTTTAACATCAATTGTCAGACTCATCTCGATTTTAGGAAATGTTTATGTGTACTTTTTTTCAAGGACATCCTAGTTAGGATCTGGGAAATAAAGTAGTGCTTGCATTTTATATATGATGAAACTGAGATTCATGAGATTAAATAATTTTGCCCTAAATAGCATGGTCATTAAGTAGTAAAAAAGTTCTGTGCTCAGGGTCTGATTGATTCCCAAGTTGTATGTATGTCTGTGACAACTATAATATACTGCATTTTTTTGGTGATCAGTGGACTTGTCTCTTCTAGAATGTTTATAATTTGGCTTGTGATAGGAATAACTATTTCTGTGATTATCATTTTCTCTTATATTAAACAAAAGCATCACCATTCTTGCTTTTACTCCTGAGGTGTGTCTGTTGAAGCAGAGGAGTGTTTTGCTCCTCTGTCCTTTAATCAATGGAGATTTAGGGATTTAGGTAGATAAGAACTCCATTCCAGTTCATTCCATTTTGGAAATTATTCCAAAATGAAGATACAAAAAAGTGAAAAGGTTTTCTTTTGGAGGTTGCAGCTGCCTTTTGCCCCATGAAGAAAACCACCGCCATGTAGTATGCTGTATTTATTAATAAGCAGAGGCAGCTATATTATCCTGTCTTTCTACCAAAGCTTACAGGCCACTCTTATAGGTATTTTCTATTAAAAAAATCAAAACTTCAGGCAACTCACATCCTCACTCCCTCTTTCTCTCTGCTTTAAAACAAAACAAAAATGTACAAACAATAAAAATTCATGGAGGGATAGATCATGTTTTGTGATGGACACTGAAAACTGTTCTTGTGCTCAAATTTCCACTTGTTGTTTATAAACAGCCATTCATTTTTAATGAGAAAATATTTATTCATGCATTGAACAGGTTTTTGTTGAACATCTCTTTTGACTGCATTACTCTGCTTGGTGCTAGAGAGAAAATGGTAAATGATCAGATACAATCCCAACCTTTACGGAACATGTAGTCTTTTGGTAGAACAAGATATTAAACAGATAAAATAACTGTCATTAGTGGTACATACAAAGAATGCAGGATTTTAACCTAGTCTGGTGGGTCAGAGAATCTTCCTAGAAGGAGATATTTAAACTAAAGATTAAGTAGGAATTAGTAAGCAAACATTGGGGGAAGAGTATTTGAGGAAGAGGGCACATGTAAAGCTTTTGAGGCAGGAAAGAGCTTGAAAGGGGACTTCAGAGGCCAGTGTGGCTAAGCCCCGCAAATGGGAGAGTAACTCCTGGTGGTTGAAAGTAAGATTATAAAGGACTTTTGGGACACATAGATGGCTCAATTGGTTAAGCATCTGACTCTTGATTTCGGCCTAGGTCATGGTCTCACTGTTTGTGGGTTCGAGCCCTGCGTCAGGCTCTGTGGTGACAACATGGAGCCTGCTTGGGATTCTTTTTCTCCTTCTCTCTCTGCCCCTTCCCCCTCTCCATGCTGCATGCTCTCTTTCTCTCTCTCTTTTTCTCTAAGAATGGATCAATAAGCTTAAAAAAAATAAATAAAGGACCTTTAAAGAGATTATTACTTTGGCAGACTCTGAAAGGAAGTTCAGTTAGGAGTCTAATGCAGTCAGCTGGGGAAGAGATAATGGTAGCATGGGTTAGGATTTGGCAAAGAGATAAGAAGCAAATAGATTTGAGAATTATTTGGGATGTAGAATTGGAAGTTTTGATTGGTTGGATGTAGGCCTTACAGCTGTAGTGTAGTTTGTCTGGTGCTTTTAAAATAAACTCTTTCATGAAACACTAATTTCTGGCTGTAGCCTGAGGTCCTATATTGATTTTGCTTTGCTTAGCCTTATTCTTTTTTGCAGCCCAACTACATAATCTCTTGATTAAATAGACATCTATGACCACCCTTCTTTTTTTCTTTAGAGCAACTTCTGTTCATTGTTATTAAGATGTTTTTCTAGAGGTATAATGCACCTGATAGCTCTTTTCTTCCTTTCTCCTAAGAGTGAAATTTGAATCAGGTCCCCTTTGCACATTGTTTTTTTTGCTGTTCCTAAACTAGATCTGTAAAAGTGAATTAATTGGCTTTAAGGGATAAGTTACTGGACTTTATAAGATTGTTTTGGTTTTGCTTTTTTGTTTTTAATTTCAGGTTCAATTGTAAGCACAATACCTTTGAAATGTTTTTAGTGAGCATAGTTTCTAGTGTTGAAATATTTATATGTAGAATTTTCAATCCCTAGAACATCTTACAAATGGGTTTTTCTCTGTCTTATTAGGCTTTTATGGTGTTATAATTAAGAAGTTTTGTTGAACAAGAGATCTCAGATATTTTCAAAGATGCTGCAGGTTATCTAGGCTCTCTTTGTATATAACAATCTGACTTTTGATTTAGACCAGTAAATATTACACTAATTTTTTTTTATCCTTTAGAGGTGTTTTGACATTTAGAGGTGTGTGTATGTATGTATTTATTTTTTTTAGATTTATTTATTTTTGGGAGAGTGTAAGTGGAGGAGGGGCAGAGGTGGGGGGTGGGGAGACAGAGGATCTGAAGTGGGTTCTGCACTGACAGCAGAGAGCCGGATGTGGGGCTTAAAGTCACAAACCATGAGATCATGACTTGAGCCAAGGTCAGATGCTCAACCAACTGAGCCACCCAGGTGCCCCTGTATGTATTTTAATTAACACTCTTAAAGTTTTAGGGTTTCTCTTTTATTCTTACATGTTTCAGCATTTCACTATTGTGTTGTTCATAGGGTTTCTGAGGGACACTTTGTCTTCTTACGTAATTGGTTTTCTTATAATTTTTTATTAAATTCCTCACTATAGTACAACTTAAAAAAGAAAACTTTTCAGATGAAAGGGAGGAACTCTATTATTTTAATGACAGTCATTGCGAATAGTGCAAAGATGAAAGTTCTTGAATTGTGCCTTGATTGTGTGTGATCTCAGAAATTTCTTAGAGATGATTATGCTTTAAAGCATTTACTACTTGTAGTTAGCATTCAACCAGATTGAACATTTCTTTTTCATATGGATATATTTTTTTTAAAAATCAAAGCAATAGTTAATGTGTTTGAAAACCTTAGTAGTTGTTCTTTTGAATATATTACTATGGCCTACATTTCATTTTATAATTCTCTTCCTGAAATTTTCTTAAGTGCTTGGTGATAAAGCCTAATTATAGTTTAAGAGAAACAAAAATGAGAGAACTCAAAACATAAAGGTTTTTTGTGTTTTCAGTATTATCTTCTGCAGTTTGTATCGTGACCCTTGATTACCAAGTAACAGAGTAACAGGGTGGCAGCCAAGTCTGTCACTGCCATGAGTACATCTTTGAAAACTGGGGTCCCAATAACTTACCTTGCCTTTTCTAAAAAAGGAGCTCATTGATAACCCATGATGTTCTACTGGGAGTTGGTAGCAACTTAGCATGTTTTAGAGCAACTCTGCATCTGAATGGTAGGTAACACGACTTCAGGAGAGAATGGTTTTATTTAATTACTCTTTTTATAAAGTGTTGCCTCAAATAATACATGAAAAAACCCTGTATCGTTAAGGAATAGTTTTTATGTGATTTCTCTTTTCAGAATTAGTTATGTTAGAACAGTTTTTAGGTTGACAGTTTTCAAACCCATAGAAAAATCGGGGGATAAACTTTGTATCTTTCACCTGTACTCACCAACTGTTAAAATCTTGCCACACCTGCATGTGTACACACACACACACACACACACTTTTATTTTACCACATTATCTGAAAGTAGGCTGCAGATACCATGACACTTCACCTTTAAATACTTCATCATATATCTCCCAAGAACAAGGATAGCCTGCTACATATTCATAGCTCCATTATATTTCCTAAAAACATCAACATTAATTTAGTAACATTATCTGACATGTGGTCCACATTCAACTTTTCTCAGTTGTCGCCAAAATGTCCTTTGTAAGTGTTTGTTTATTTTCCTCCAGGATCCAAAGTTCATATATTGTATTTGGTTGTTGTGTCTCTTTAGTCTCCCCAAACCTAGGACAGTCCTGCTGCCTCCCTTTTCTTTCTTTTTTTTTTTTTTAATGTTTATTTTTGAGAGAGAGAGACAGAGACAGAACGCTAGTGGGAGAGGGGCAGAGAGATAAGGAGACACAGAATCTGAAGTAGGTTCCAGGCTCTGAGCTGTCAGCACAGAGCTCGATTTGGGGCTCGAAATTACTAACCACAAGTTCATGACCTGAACAACCACCTGAGCCAGCCAGGTGCCCCTCCATTTTCTTTTTGACATTGAAATCCTTGTAGAGTCTATGCCCATTGTCTGGAAGATCATTCACATTCTGGATTCATTTGTTTCTTAATAAGTAGATGCAGGTCAAACATTTCCAGGAAGAACACAAGTGATATTTTGTAATCTCCCATTGCATCATGTCAGGAGGTACATGTCAGGCCATCCTGATAATGACCACTTGGTGAGAGTGGTTACTGCCAGGTCCTTATAGGCACATTTTCCTCTTACTAATCTTCGGTTTGATACTTTGAGAACATATGAATATCTTGTTTCTCAGAACATTTCAGTGGTTTTAACATCCGTTAGTGATCCTTGCTTGAGTCAATTATTACATTGAGGTTACAATGATAATTTTTCTTATTTTGTTAATTAGATGTCATTCTTCTATCAAGATATTTCTTCTTTCTCCCTTTCCTCCTTTTTCATGAAGGAGAAACGGATTTTTAAAGATTCATTGTGTTGTAATCCATTAGTGTCATTTTTCCTTTTGATGTTTCTTTATTGAAATGTAATATGCATACAGAAAAGTGCATATATCATAAGTTTACAGTTTATTGAATTATCTCAAAGTGATTACTCCTGTGTAATCACTGTTTAGTTCAAAAATGGGAAGTACACAGTATATATTTTTTGTTTTTTAAATAATATATTTTGTTTAACCCAAAATATCCAAAATATTTCTATAAGAAATCAATAAAAATTATTAGTAAGATATATTACTTTCTTTTTTTCATACTGTCTTTGAGATTCAGTTTGAATTTCGTACTAACAGTAGCATCTCACTTCAGACCACCACATTTCAGTTGCTTGATAGCCACATAATGTGAATCATTACTCTTTTTGCATAGTATAGCCTTAGCCTTAGGTTTGTCAGAGCTTTTTGAGCAACTCTTAGAATCTATAAAGACTGATCCAGGGGCGCCTGGGTGGCTCAGTCAGTTAAGCGTCCGACTTCAGCTCAGGTCATGATCCCACAGTTTGTGGGTTCAAGCCCCGTGTCAGGTGCTGTGCTGACAGGTCAGAGCCTGGAGCCTGCTTCTGATTCTGTGTCTCCCTCTCTCTGCCCCTCCCCCACTCGTGCTCCTGTTTCTCCCTCTCTCTCAAAAATAAATCAACATTTAAAAAAAAAAGTAAAAAAAAAAGACTGATCCAAACTGTGTTATTGAGTTTTAAAACAGTATTACCTATTTTTTTTATTATTGAGGTAATACTGGGATATAACTTTATAAATGTTGCAAGTGTACAACATTTGAGTTCAACATCTGTAAACACCACAGAGTGATCACTGCCAAAAGGCTAGTTACCACCCATCACTATAAAACTGACCCCCTTTACCCATTTTGCTGTGCCCCAATCTATTCCCCCTCTGGGGATCATCAGTCTTAAAGTAGTATTGTATATTTTGATGAACTTAAAATACCATGTAGGAGAAGGGAGGGGAAAATTCTTTTCTACCCCTTAGGGTCTTCCAGCTGGAGTAAGAATTAAATTTATATGAGCACGATTAAAAGGAGAAAAAAACCCAAAGTTTTATTACATGCCTGCAGTGGCTCCGTAAGGAAATCGAGACCTAAAAAAGTGAGCACGGCAGGCAGTTTTCCCTCTCTCACACCACCTTTCCCTCGTTGTGGCAGTAGGATGGTGCTGCACACCCCACAGACCTGGGGATGTGGCCTGCTGGCCTGGCTGGTGCACCCTACACACTGGTCCAGTGCAGTAATCCGGAAGACCACACAGCACAAAATCCAAAGCAGGGGAGGAGTGTGGGCTTGGATGCTCAGACTTCAAAGCCAGAACCCTGGGTTCTACTCCAGATTCATGGTGGATTGTACCAATTATTGTGGCCACAGGTAGGGACTTGTAAGGTCAGTGTGGGACTCAACATGTCTAACAGGCTCCAGTGGTAAAGGAAATTTTCAACTTTTAATGTATGTAGTGCCTCTTCCTAGACTGTCAAGGAAGCTACTATACTTTAACATTTGCTGATGTCAAAATGACTGAGAAAAATCTCAAATCATGGGCTCTATTTCTGCCTCAATCACACATTGTACATCTGCTTCATTAAAAAACAATAACCAAAAAGGAGCATTCCAAGCATAAAGGAAAAAAAACAATTCCCTTGGATCCCATAAGATTAAAGTCACAGAGCCTTGCATGTATGAAAAACATAAGATAAAGTCTGTAGCTTTATGGAGTATCCTTCCTTGTGATAAATATATATAACCCTTCATCAAATATTCCTTTCCTGGAAAATTCTCTTAACATTGTGTACCAGGCAGTTGTCCTAAATTGGGCTCTGCTCTTTTCTCATTTAACTTTAATTTTTATTTTTTTCATGTTTCAAGTTTTAATTTAAATTCTAGTTACCAGATAGTGTAATGCTGGTTTCAGGAGTGGAATTTAGTGTTTCAACACTTACATACAACACCCAATGCTCATCATAAGTGCCCTTCTTATTACCCATCCCCCCATCTAGCCCATCCCCCACCCACCTCTCTCCGGCAACCCTCAGTTTGATCCCTCAAGTCAGGAGTCTCTTATGGTTTGCCTCCCTTTTTTTTTTTTTCCTTGCCCTATGTTCATTTGTTGTTTCTTAAATTCCACAGTATATATTTTGTATCTGATTTATATCACTGAGCATGGTTTTTGTCACATTTATCCATGTTTTGCATTTAGTCATTTTAATTGCTGTGTAGTATTCCAGTGCATGAATCTACCACAGTCTTTTTATCCATTCTGCTTTTGATGGTTATCTGGTTGGTTTCAAGTTTTTGACTATTGTGAGTAAAGCTGCTATGAATGTTCCTGTGTATGTTGTTTGGGATCAGTAGTTGGGCATAGGATTACCTGTGGGGAAGGATTTTGGCAGCATTAACTTGTGATTTCTTTACCCAAGCAAGGCCAGGGGTGCTGCTTTCAGATGTCAGAATCCTCTCTGAGCCTCTATTAAGAACATAGTGTTGGATTTTATTTATATAAATGTTAACATATTGTATTATTTACTGTCATGCAGTACTAGATCTGTAGGCCATTGCTACCAAGGCAACCCTTGCTCACACAATCCAGAAAGGGAATAATGCTTATTCTGTTTACTTGAAAAATACAAATTTCCATGTTTCTTTGAATATGGAAATGCATATCATCTCATACGTAAACGTAAATAGAATACAACCACATATGAAATTCTCTTTTGGATTGTAGAATTTTATTAAGCAAGCGTAACCTTTGTTATATCTGTGACCTCAGAGGATTTTATAAATTTTGTGCCTCATATAACTAAATGAAGAGATATTACTTATTTAAATATACATATGCATAGTCAGAACTCATTTAGTTATAAATTGTGGGGCTTGTAGTCTGTTGTTAATATAGGTATGCACAGCACCACTGGAGACTGCCTTTAAGAAAAACCATGTAACAGTGTTTCTGTGTAAGAGAACAGGGAAAGCCAAAGTAGCAAAGAAAAATAAACTTCTATCTGTACTTTTGTATATGCTCACTGATCTTTACATATATATTTTGTTCCAGTAGTGGCTACGGAGGAGGTAGTTACCGCAGAATCTGTGGATGGTGCAATTCAGCAAGTAGTTAGCTCGGGGGGCCAGCAAGTCATCACAATAGTTACAGATGGCATCCAGCTTGGAAACTTGCACTCCATCCCGACCAGTGGGATAGGTCAGCCCATCATTGTGACCATGCCAGATGGACAGCAAGGTTGGTAGTAGGCATTTGCCTAAAGTTTGAGTTTATTCTCAAGGCTCGGGAAATTGTGATATGTTTTTCAAAGCATTCATTTTTGCCTTAAAATATATTTTTGCAACCTTTTGCAGTAGGCTTGATTGGCTAATTTTATCTGCTTTTTAGGCTACTATTGAAATTAGCTTGCTTTCTCTGAGTATACGAGGTGGAAAGAGGAACTGGCTCCAAAGTATTCCCGTTGGAAAAAGAGCTTAAATAAATAGTTCAGAATATGCTTTGGACAATAATTTCTTATGCCATTTATTGCAATTCACATATCATACCATGTAAGAAAAGGCTCCTTACAAAGAAGTTGGACTTAGGACTTGTAGTAGGAATGTGGTGGCCACTTTTAGCATCTTTGTTTGTAATTTCCCATTTTTTCCCCTTGGAAACCTCTGAGAGTAGTAAGATTCAACAAAAGCCCCGACTACATTTTCAGGGATGCTGAAAGGCTGAGAAAACCACAAAATTCCATATTTTAAATGCTGCCAAAAACATCTAAGACCATTAGAGCCATGGAAACTCACAGAGGTGCATCAAGAAAAGAAAAGGGATTGAGCTCAGGCATTAGCATAAATATACACTCCCAGCAAGACAGGGCTCAGTCTGTGTAGGAGGTGCCATAAGCAGGGCTGAGGCAGAGGAGTGCATGAATGCTGAAGGAAGCAGAAAGAGAAGGTTCAGAAAATTCCTATCTGAGCAAGCATTGCCATGTACCCAGCATCCCCTCCCCAATACATACAAAAACATGTGTGCACACGCATAACCTTTTAGACAATGATTAGGATTGCACAGACTGTGCTCATTCATGGTCAGTGAAGGAATTAGGGAAGGGAAAGGCTGGAGCTAGAAGTTCTCCTAAACCAGGTTTGGTTTAGAGTGACAGAGGAGGTATAGCACTGTAGAGCCACCACGTCTCAGGAAAAAAGTTTGTCACTGTAGCAGAAGAAGAGGAAACCATTGACTTGTGAAGCCTGCAGAGATCTTTCCAATTCTGCAGAAATCTGCTGATGGCTCATCCAAGATACTTTCACAAAGCTTCACAGAACTAATTCTAGTTATATAGAAATAAGAAAACTTTCACAGTATTTGCTTATATTGAGCAGATATAATGTTTCTAAAACCTGACATTATAGAGACTAATCTCATCCCATGAACAAATGGAAGAAATGTCATGTTTTGGGATAGGAAGATTCACTGTCATAAAGCTCTCCATTCTTCCTGAGTTAATTTATAAATGTAGGGTGATATGAAAAAAAAAAAAAAAAAACAAGGACTATTTTAGTTTGCTACGGCTGCCATACCAAATTACCACAGACTGAGCGACTCAGCAGAAGTTTCTTCTCACAACGCTGGAGGTTTGAAGTCCAAGATCAAGGTTTGGCAGATTTGGTTTCTTCTGAGGCCTTTCTCCTTGGCTTGCAGATGGCCGCCTTCTCACTGTGTCCTCATGTGGTCAGCCCTCCTTCTGTGTGTTGTCTGTACCTTAATCTCTGCTTCTTAAAAGGACACCAGTCCTATTGGATTAAGGCCTACCCACATGACCTCATTTTACCTGATTTACCTCTTTGAAGGCCCAGTCTCCAAATACAGTCACATGGTGAGGTACTGGGGTTTAGGACTTAAGCATTTGAATTTTGAGGAGGACACAATTCATCCCATAACAGAGACTAACAGGTTTTTTTCCTGGAGCTGGCCAGATAGATTCTGAAGTTTATATTAATGGGAGGAGGAGGGAAGAAGAGTAAGAAAACTTTGGGAAAGAAGAGCAATGAGAAGAGCTTACTAAATATTAAAATAAATTTTTAAAGCCCCCATAATTGAAAAATGTAACTGACATTCATATGTAACTGACATATGAATATATACAGACTATGCAGACAGTCCAATGAAGCAGATACAAGGCTCTCAATTTTTCTTGAGTTAATTTATAAGTGTAATGTGATATGAGTTAAAAGAAATAAAACACTTAAATCTCAGTATCTCTAATGTTTTAAATTACAGTGTACTAAATAAATATTTTACTTTTTTTCATTTCTGTTTGCATTTGTAAATGACAGAATTTTTAATATTTTGACAAAAAACTTCAAAGGCTCTAAAACAATTGTGATTTCCCCCATTGATTATTAAAATTGCGTGGTTTCAGCTCACAGTCATTTCTATGGTCCTACACTGCTTGCTATGCAAAGCAAGGACAGCCTCTCTCTCTCTCTCTGTGTATTTACATATGTATAAAAAAAATACTAAAAATTAGGAACAAAGTCCAACAACCCAAAAGAAAAACAGGCAAAGTTTATAAACAGACAATGTTCATAATGATGTGTCCACACATTGGAATATTATGCAGCTAAATAAAAGAAAGCTCTGTGTATACTGACGAAAGATACCCTAGATACATGGCATGAAAAAAGCAAAGGCAGAGCAATGTATCTATTATATGTGCATTTGAATGTATGGTACCTTTTGTATAAGAAAGAAAAATGAGAATGTATATTCATGTTTTTGTATAAATTAACACAACAATAATAAATCAATAAAAGTGATTATCTGTTATGCTTATTAAACATTTTTTTGATTTTCAGCCATACAATGAATATGTTATCTGTAAAATTTAAAAAAAATAAGTAGGTGTGTTAAACAACAAGTTCATTAAAAATGCACCACAAAGACAGATATGGACATCCTCATAGAAAGCAAATCAGTGCTTTGAAAATAGTATTTTGGAACATATTTATTTTAGAGGAGTTATGTCAACAATGTCACAGATAGTTTTATTTCTACTAAACCTATCTAAAAATGAATTAATGTATACATTTTTTTCATTTCAGTGTTAACAGTACCAGCAACCGACATTGCTGAAGAAACTGTTATAAGCGAAGAACCACCAGCTAAGAGACAATGTATCGAAATAATTGAAAACCGGGTGGAATCTGCAGAAATAGAAGTAAGGAGTCTTTTACCCGGTGTGTTTTGCTGCAGTCATCCAAAATAAACTCAATTTGCTTTTCTTTATTTTTAATTTCCTTTTGGTCTTTTATATTTATTACTGACAGTGTTGTCTTGATACAGAATGAAAGTACATAGTATTATTTTGTCTAGTTATTTGCTAATACATATAGCAAGCCCTCAATAAATAAATATTGAATGAATGAATGAATGAGTGAAGAATTTGTTTATAACAAAGTCTGTCATCGTGATAACATTGGAATGTCTTTGGTTCTTGCACTTCATCCTTTATTTTCTATTATATTTACATACATCATTCTCACAAGTCACTAAAGGAAATGTCACTGTGTATTGATGAAAAACATTCTTTTCTTTCAAAAGTGAAATTCAAAGACCTATTTGGGCTGGAGGATCCTTTTTAAGAAGGTTGATGTTTGTTGACTAGGTTATTTTTAAAAAGCCATAAGTAACTGCTTATTTCACTGTTAAGTTCTTTAAAAAGGAATTTAAATTTAAGCTAGCTTTTGAAAGGATTCAGTCTTTTTTCTTCTAGTTTGGAAGTACAACCAAAAACCATAGATGCCTCCCAGGTTTTTTTCTTGCATGACTGTAAATAAAACTGTGTCCCTTGAATTTGATATTAACTCATATAAAGTGTAAGTAAAGTTATTCTGGAATAACTTTGAAAGATCAACTGCAGTGTAAAGAACATTGGACTTGAAATTAAATGCGTTAATGCGTTAGATTTGAATTACATCTCTTGCCCCTATTAGCTTGGAGGCACATTATCTTACTTTTCTGAGTTTCAGTCTTATTTTTGCTCATATGAGAGTTTTGGGTAATGGTATCTGTATTTTGGACATTTTATCAGAGATGAAGAAGTCAGCATACTCATTACACTCATATTTGTAATATCTGGTATATGTAAGTAGTAAGTGTTGCCGAATATCTTAAATATTGTTGGTGAATAGGAATTCTGAAGGTTCTTATCCATAGAAAAGAGGATTATTTTATTTTGAAGGGGGCACTCAGGATTTTATTTATTTTTAATATTACTGTTTTAAAAATGTTTATTATTTAAAAAATTTTTTAATATTTATTTTTTGAGAGAGAGAGGGAGACAGAGTGTGAGCAGGGGAGAGGCAGAGACAGGGAGAGAGAGAGAGAGAGAGAGAGAGAGGAACAGAATCTGAAGCAGGCTCCAGGCTCTGAGCTGTCAGCACAGAGCCCAACGTGGGGCTTGAACTCACGGGCTGTGAGATCATGACCTGAGCCAAAGTTGGATGCTCAACTGACTGAGCCACCCATGTGCCCCAAAAATGTCTTTTTTATTTTGAGAGACTGAGAGAGAGAGAATGAGTTGGGAAGAGGCAGAAAGAGAGGGAGAGAGAGAATCCCAAGCAGGCTCTGAGCTGTCAGAGGAGAGTCTGATGCTGGGCTCAATTTCACAAACTGTGAGATCATGACCTGAGTTGAAATCAAGAGTTGGACGCTCAACCGACTAAGCCACCCAGGCGTCCCTCAGGATTTTATTTTATTACTGTTTTTTAAAAGTAGTCTCCATATTCAATGTGGGGCTTGAACTCACAACCCTGAGATCAGAGGTCACACACTGTACCAACTGAGCCAGCCAGGTGCCCTGAAAAGAGGATTTTTTAAAAAGTCACTAAAAGGCAACGTGATTCTGACTGAGGACAACTAGAATATTTCTTTGCTCCAGTGCATCTAAGTGTAATGCTGATACATCTTTAACCACAGTCACAAAGGACATATTATTGAGTTAAAAAGAATCTGATTCATACTTTAACCAGAATGTTTTGTAACAGTATGACTTTAATTATTGAGGGTAAATTGCTTTGTTTCTTCAAAATTTAAAATGATATTCAGTACATGGACATTCTTACAAACAGTTTATTCCATTGAACAGTATTAGTATACTTATTTTGTAATCTTTTAAATATGTTTTTTTGGATGTCGACTATCATTTCTGGCACATAAGGTTAAAAAGTTTTGTCATGTACTTTGCTTTAACTAATAAAACATTTTTTAAATTCTTTGAATTTTATTGAACATAAACTTACTGAATTCAACAAATTATGTGTTTAAAACAGTGAATGTGCAGCCTGTGCCTTTATTCACCTAATAACCAATGAGAGTTGCTGTTTTCTTGAAGGTTCAGCCTGATTCCCCTCTTATGGTCTTTCAGAGACCAGGGAGAATAATTTCAAATAACAGGAAAGTATGAATTGAGGTATAGAAATGAACTGGAACCAAGGAGATAGAACTTCAGGGTGATGGAGTTTTAGCTTGGTATAAAGAAGTGGGTTTTTGTTGTTGTTGTTTGTTGTGTTTTGTTTTTAGTAATTAGAGCTGTCTGGTAATAGAAACCTCATTCTCCATCACCAGAAATGTTAATGCCAACATTGCATGATCTCTCTAGAGCTATTACAGAGAGACCTTGAAGTATGCGGTCAGTATAGGTGGTAGAGGTGGGCTGAGGATATAGAATGAAGAGTGGCCTCCATTGTTTTCATCAAACCAGGCACTCATTTCCTTATAATACCTGGAGTTGTTCTTTTGAACTTATTTTCTTAAATGACCAATGGAGTTGTCTTGGGGGCAGACTTTTATACTCTAAGTGACAGCTTAGCCTTTAACCGGAAAAGTTTCTCACAAGCAGTGGTTCTCATCTGGGACGTTTTTGACCCCAGAGGACACTTGGCAATGTCTGGAGACATTTAGGGTTGTCACAACTAGGTCGGCCACTGACATATAGGGGGCAGGACATGTTGACATATAGGGGGCAGGACATGTTGCTAAACAGCCTACAATGCACAGGACAGCCTCCATAGTAAAGAATCATCTGGTTCAAAATTATCCATGCTGAGATTGAGGAACTCTGCTCTACAGCAATTGAAAATTATGGGCGCCTGGTTGGCTCAGCTGGTTAAGCATCTGACTTGGGCTCAGGTCATGATTTCATGGTTTGTGAGTTTGAGCCCGGTTTCGGGCTCCCTGCTGTCAGCATGGAGCCTGCTTTGGATTCTCTCTCTGCCCTCTCCTGTTCTTGTGTGCGTACTCTCTTTCTCTCAAAATAAATAAACATTTAAAAAAAATTAACTCATTATACAGAATCTAACATATTTGGGGTTTCTCTGTATGTTTGTGTCCACAACTACCAGAGTGACTGTTTATAAGTCAAGTGCTAAGAATTTACAGTTTCCCAACTAACGTTGGAGAGGTTTATTAATAATCTCTACAAAATTAGCTTAAATTGTAGAAAATGTATTGTAAATGGTGAAGCTTTTATATTTGCATTATAGCAATAAAGGAAATGAAATAGGTTTGTTTTTTGAAAGGGAGGTCTGAATAAGACACCAAATTGCAATAATGTATATCATATCACCCCCTCCATACTACTGCATTAAAGGTATTTTTGGGGAGAGGTGTGATATTTGTGAATTTCTTCCATAAATAAACATTAGGCTATTCTGAATTGAAATTAAAACTATTCTTTTGTAATGTGGGAGGGAGGAAATATAATTAGTGCATTAGGAATAACAGATTCTTCTATTATGTAGTTGTGTGAATTCAGGAAATACCTTTACCTTTTCATTGCTATGGAGGTTAGAGATGAATATGTTTATTAGCAAGTTTTTTTTATTTTTAATGAAATATTTGTGTCTTGTAACCAGTGATAGACTGGGATCCTTAGTGTTCTTTTAAAATTTGATTTCTGTAAACTTTACACAGTGTTTTATTTGATGCAGTTTTTTCAATCTCTTTTCCTTTTATTGATATTCTTTTGATCCACCACAGTTTAAGATTTCCTGCAGTCTCTCTTTTTGGTAAGTTTTTTCTCTAGGGCTGGGGTAGGCAAAGTTTTTTTTTTCTGTGAAGGGCCTGATAGTGAGTATTTTTGGCTTTGTGGGCTTTATAGTCTGTGCTTCACCACTTATCTTTGCCATCGTAGTGGGAAAGCAGCCATGGACACTTTGGAAATGAATAGATATTTCAGTAAAACTTTGTTTATAAAAACAGGCTCATATGTGGCTCATGGCACTTGGAAAATTGATGTTTATACACAAGGAAACAGGCAGCTCACACACCCTGCCCAGTTTCTTTCTTTTTAAGCAAATATTTAATGGTTAAGAATATGGGTATATTTTATTATTTTCTGATTGTGTTATCTTGATCAAGTTGTTTAACCTTATAAGGCTTGATTTCCCCATCAGTAACAAGGCGGAAAATAACAGCACCAACGTTATCAGATGGTTACAAAGTATAAATGAGAATACATGTAAAAGACTAGGACGATGATGGGCATGTGATAAATGCTCAGTAAATGTTAGCTGCTATTAAAATTATCTTCTAAAATATATATAGAAGTAGAAGATAAATGAGTAGAATGATTTTTTTTACTCCATAATAGCTAAGGTAAAATAAATTTGAATATTAGAAAATTAAAAATAATAAAATGGTTATGAGATCATTGCTACCAGCTGAAGCAGAATTCAAGAATTTTGTTTGAAAATAAAAAAGCAAACTCAAGTCTTTGCCCTATTAGTCCATTGCCTGGGTTTGGAGTTGTAGTGTAAGAGAAATATCTTCTCTATTGCAACCAAACTGTGACTATTATCCAAATTTACTTTTTTGGAATTCTTCCATATTATACTGTTAAAGGAAAAATACTTGAGTATTACATATTAATAGACTAAGGTATATTTATTTACACATGTCAAAGTCCTTTTTATTGTGCCTTTATTGCAAAAGGTCAAAGCCATAGCCTTGGCATTTCTATTTAAATTTTTTTTGGTAATGTTTATTTTTGACAGAGAGAGACAGAGCATGAGCGGGGGAGGGGCAGAGAGAGAGGGAGACACAGAATTCAAAGCAGGCTCCAGGCTCTGAGCTGTCAGCACAGAGCCCGACGTGAGGCTTGAACTCACAGACCGTGAAATCATGACCTGAGCTGAAGCCGGACACTCAACCGACTGAGCCACCCAGGCACCTGGCATTTCTATTTATTTTTAAAGAGTTTTTTATTTTTGAGATTGTGAGAGAGAGAGAGAGAGAGAGAGAGATGGAGTGTGAGCAAGGGAGGGGCAGAGAGAGAGGGAGACACAGATTCTGAAGCAGACTCCGGGCTCTGAGCTGTCAGCACAGAGCCTGATGCAGGGCTCAAACTCAAACCGCGAAATTATGACCTGAGCTGAAGTCAGACGCTCAACTGACTGAGCCACCCAGGTGCCCCTTGGCATTTCTATTTAAATATAAATCTCAAATGTCAGTGTGATGCATTGTTCATGTGTGAAACAACCAAATTACTGTTTACATTAAGGAAGTGTCTTGCATATAATGTATGTTCAGTAAACATTTAACAAATAAATTTGGAAACAAAGGATCTCTTTGAGTAAAGTAAGAAGTGATATTTTCCACTTTTTAGAGATTTTTATTTGCTTTGAAAAGTGAGATGGCAAAAAGTTTTCCTAAATACCTACACTCCTGAGAACTAAAAAATGGAAACACTTAAAAAAAACTTTAATAATGTTAACTGCTTTCAGTCTTGAGGATTAAGTGTAGTGCAATGACCTTTACCTTTCAGACTTTACAGATATAGTTAAGAAATGCAGTGTAAATGAATCTTTTATTTGGCCTAGTAGAAGGGAGCTATCTTTTCATTTATATTAAGATACATTTTACTAATTGAATAAAAACAAACTGTATTTACTGTTAGACTACCTCACTTAATTTGCTTTCATCTTCTGAAGTAATTGTGAATCCCTTGCTGTTTCTAAATGTTAATGGATAGCTAGTATTAGAAGATACCTTAGAGTTAGAGAATCTGTCCCAATATTTCCTACCAAATTCAAAACTTTGGCTACCAAAGGATTTTATTTTTTAACACATGTCAAAAATTTTTTTTTAATTTTAATGTTTATTTATTTTTGAGAGAGACAGAGCATGAGCAGGGGAGGGGCAGAGAGAGAGAGACAGAGACACAGAATCCAAAGTAGGCTTCAGGCTCTGAGCTGTCAGCACAGAGCCCGATGTGGGGTTCAAACTCACAAGCTGGGAGATCATGACCTGAGCTGAAGTCAGACACTTAACCGACTAAGCCACCCAGGTACCCTAACACATGTAAAATTTTAAAACACTTATGCACGGCCATGAGTGCTCCTGCCAGTGGTGGGGGTCTAGTTCCTGGAGAAGCAGCACCCCTCTCCCACCTTTTTCATTGGCGTGCTCCAAGTTCTTCATAGTTCACTGCCAAGGTAGTGGTGTTGATTTCTTGCCCGAGGCTTGACTCTTGGGTGTCCTTTCTGACTTGTTCCTACTCTGCCATTTTGCCTGGAGGAAGGGTAAGAAAAGGGTAAGAAAAAGGTAGCAGGGAAGGGAATGGGCATTTGTTAAATGGAGATGGAAGGGTGCTGTGTTTCTTGTACGTTTTGTGCAAATGGAAGCCTGCTTGCATAATCTATCATTCCTACATTTGGTGGACCCAGGGGAAAAAACACACGTTGGACTTCATTCCCAGTATGAGGAAGGGAATGGGATCAAAGGAAGGAGTATTAAAGATGCTCCTCCTTGGAGACCATGTATGACTAGTGAAGGGGAGGGAATCTTTTGGTGTTCACAATGGACAGGAGTCAAAGAGGCAGTGGAAGAGACCCTCATACTGCCCTCTCCCCCAGTACGTTGCTGACCCTCACCTCCGGTTCCCTCTGGTCAAGTGTCTTGTCCAGTATGAACCTGGCGTTTCTTAGATTAATAATAGTCCTACCCTCGGCCTTCATCCCACTGAGGGGTCCTAGCCTCTGTGATGAGGTTGTGTATGGGCCTGTGCAGGTTGAGCTTTTGTCCATGCGCATACTAGAGGCATGAGAAAGGAGTCTTTGAAATGCTTTCCCTTAGGCAACTGAATAGGGGCAGAGTGAGGAGGAGAAAGAGTATCATTTTCATTGGGCTAGATTTATGTTTAGCATTTAGAATTGAATGCATGTATTTTATATTTGGACAATTTAATGAATCACCATAGAGAAGTTAGTATTTTATTGGTTTGTAAAAATGGTATAATTTAGGAAAAACTAATCTAGACCAGCACCCCTTCATTTTAGAGATGAGGAGTCTTGCTTGTTACCATAGAGGAAGATAGTTTCAAAAGCAGTAACATTAGAATCTTGTAAACTCAACTGTGTTACGAGGGAACAGCTATGTCCTCTCTGAATACCATTTTGCTCATCTGTAAAATGGGCATAATCTTTATCCTAGAGGCTTGTTATTGGAAATCGCCTTGTTTGGTCACATAACAGGTGCTCAGTAAATATTAACTGTTATAGTTTATTGTACCTTTACATAAAAACATCACAGAGGTGTGAAGAGGTATATTTCTGTCTTAAAGTCTTCATTAGTTTTTGTAGTATATATAAAAGTACAGGTACACGGTCTGGGTTCATTATGTTAATCTTATTTTTAATCGGAGTAATTTCTTGAGGTCAGAAACTAATCTGTATCAGCGTGGAGCACAGAATTAGGGGCTTTAATTACTAATGAATTGACTGAAAAGGCAAGATGCTTAGGAAATGTCAATAGGTGGTGACTACATGTAGCTACTACAGATTTTTCTATTTGAAGGATGCATGCTTGTATATGTTCCTAATGTATTTGTGCAAAAATTGAAAAAACAAACACCTTTTTTTTTAATTAGGAGAGAGAAGCTCTTCAGAAACAGCTGGATGAAGCAAATCGGGAAGCACAAAAATATCGACAGCAGCTTCTAAAGAAAGAACAGGAAGCAGAGGCCTACAGACAAAAATTAGAAGCTATGACTCGCCTTCAGACTAATAAAGAAGCTGTTTAATTGAAATGAACATGTAGTTTGGATTTACTTTTGGTTAAGAAAGAACCCAGTCTTGAACTGTACACAAAAGGTGCAGTCGCAGGAAGCGAGGAGAACAGAAGAGACTACGGATTGATGACTGGACTTAAGCCATGAGCTTTGAATTCTTGTAACATAAAACTTTAGAAGTTGTGAAATGTATTTAAAACTGAATTCTGTAAATAGTTTTTGTTTTTTTACAGTTCCAAATGAGTTATAAAGATTGTTGAAGAGATCCAAAAACACAATAAGCCACTGTTTTTGTGAATTCTTTTTGATTTTAGTATGAACCTTAATTTCTCAGAAACAGAACAGTTTTAAGGGTGATCATTGTTGATTAGACCAAATGTTATGTAATAATTATGTGGTGGACTGATGCTGGAATTACTCCTGTAGGTATAAACTTCTATATGAAGAGAAGATTTCTCCCAGGAAATCTTTGTACAGCTTTAAGTTGTCTCAGATTCTCTGAAAACATTTTTTAGAAAGCAAATTTTTATATTTGTTCAATTTCAGCTATACCCAAGTAGATTTACATGTATATGAAGCAAATATTTTTTAAACTTTCTGTTTGTACATATTCTGCATGTTTTATAATTTCAAAATGCATCACTTGCATAAGTATTTTTCCCATAAAGATGATGAAAGTTACTAGGAGAAAAAAAAATCCTTTTATTTAGTAGGTCATTGAGAGTGAGTAAGCTAGCAGCTGGTTTTATTGGAATGACAATGTTCTTAGAAGGAGCAGCTTACAAGAAAACTTGAATTTGCAAACTGCAAAATCTATGCTTTTTTGAAAATTTCATAGTGGGGACGTGAAACTGTATTCTGTGCCTTCCATCATGATTTCCACATGAAAGCACTTTAAGGCACTGGATTTTAAGATAATGTTTTTGGGATACTCAAAGCATATGGGTTTCTGAAATATTTCATGGACTCATTTCTCCCCAGGAAATTATTCTTATGGAAAAAAAATTGCTTTTGTATGTAGAACAAGAACTTTTTGTACTAGTGATGCTATAGATATGTCTAACATAACTTTTACTTTTCCCTGTGAAAGCCGTATGTCTGTGCTGTGACTTGCTCTCATCACAATATTGTTGAATTCCACAGTGTATGGACATTAAACTCTGACATACTGTTCATTCTTGTTTTGTAAAACATAACTTCAAGCTCTTTTTTTCTTGCTTTATTTTTTAATGTTTTATTGCTTTATGAAAATGTTTAACCCTAATACCCTCCTAGATTACCTATCTGTATAAAGAAGCAATTACCCTTAAAACTGTACTCTGGCCTACTTTTCTATTTTACAATTAAATATCTTTTCCACATATGTTCAGTGTAGACTGATATTTTAACCCCACATTAAAAATTTTGTTCTGTATCTTATAGCTATATTCCACCAGAATGAAAATATTATATATTCTTCACACTGTGTCTTATAAATCCTGGAGGTAATTTCTTGGGAATTTGTTAGTTCTCTCACTGGAGTTATTATAGTTATTAAGGTAATAAAAGGATCTGTGAACTATCGGCCTGATAGTTGCTGTTTGGAAACTTAGAAAGGTTTGAGAACTCCAAATAGAAGAGAAAAAACCTTTTCAGTTTTCCACTAAATTTAACATATATTTTAAATGATCTACACCTATAGATTTAACAAATGCTCGGCCATATTTTCAATAGCATGAAGCTACTTTTTCTCTCTCTTTTTTTTTTTTATCACTTTAATGCATTTATGGCTTTGTTAAGCAGGGTGCCTTTGACATATGCAATATTGGAGTGGAGAAGGACCACTATGTACACCCCAGGGTGCAAACCACTGTAGACTTTGCTTCCAGACCAGATTGGCCCCAAAGAGCCTTGAGACAGTGTTGGAAATAAACTCCCGAAAGCTAATTTAATATGTTTTTTGACTTCTAGTCTCCTGTTGTGCTAGAGACTTGACCTGGGACAAGAAGGAATTTTGATTTATAATAACATTTGACATAGATGGGAGAAAACAATTGGTACTTAGAAGGAGTAAGTCTATGATAGTATCAGGTTAATACTCAGATGTCTTTGGGAGAAGTTCACTTTTTTCAGAGTGTTCCATTGACCTTGTATAATTCCTCAGTCATCTATATCTGATTCAGTGTGCTGTGAAATCAGTAGTTAGACAAGAATGTATAACAAATTTAAAAAAAAAAAATTTTTTTTAGCTTGTTTTCAGTTGGGCTGAAAAAGCTTTGCATTCTCATTCTGTGTTTTGAGCAGAGGATTAAAGGAACTGACAGAATAAAATAATATAAAAGTTTTCAGAAATCCATACTTAATGTGTTTCCACTACCTAATGATGGATTTGCAGTTAAAGGTCATTTGGTTACCATATCAATGTGTGAACAAACACCTTTTAGAGCAGCCTTACTCCAGGGTTCTGTGAGAGAATCAAGCCCTAGTGCCCTAAGTATTGGGCCTAATGAATTAATATCTTTTAATGAATTAGTTTCTTCCTTGTGCATCTAGAATAGTACTGGCTATGTACTATCTAGACACTGAGCTCATTTGATGTCTTAATTGCTTCATTACTTGGTTCAGATTTAATACTTCCCTGTGTCCAGTCACTGGAATTTGAGGATTACAAATCTAAGTTGGGTCTGTGATGCTTTAAGAAAGCATCCTCTGGCAAGTAGTATCTGCGGGGACTGTGCTTCTCAACTAACTTTCATTTATTGTTACCTATTTTATTTATATCCTAATCGCTTCTGTAAGGGCTTGTGATGTCATTTGTTTTAATTTGCTTTAGGAAAAATTTTCTTACGTCAATCTTTCATGCCATGAATGGCAGAGTAGTACTCCGTTCTTTTACTTTGACGCTGGATTGCTCTATTTCTTTGTGGTGCTGGAGGGCTGGGAGTTGGGGAGTTTTCTCCTGTGACATTCAAAAGAACAAAGTTAAATGGAAGAGGGAATAAATGTGAAATCCCATGCCATTTTTGTTTATGACCAAAAGATATGTGTATAAATATTTTTATCCAAAGCATATTGCTAATGAAAATCTATGCCAGCATATTTTTCTTCAACATGATTGTTTATGATGTTATTTATTGAACATTAGAAGAAACCATTGCCTATAACAGGAATTGGTGAGTTGATAGACCTATTCATGGATGCTTTGTGCTACTATGACTGATTATTTTTTTCTGTTTTACTCTATACATAGCTTCTTCCTGATAAAATCTATAGTTTTCTTTGTGCTTTAATACCTGAAAGACCTTGAGGACTAACTCAAAATATACCAAGAAGAAAAACCTTTTCAGATAAAATCACAAAACAATTGAAGGAACCTTTGTGGATGAGCTCCATATGGAACCCATATGGGTGGGTTCCCAAGGCATTAGCACTCAGGCTTATATAGCAAATAGAAAAAAAACCTTTTCTATTCACCTAGCTTCTATTGAGTAAATAACTCCTCCAGCATGTCAGATCAACTTAGGAATGAACTAACAGATTTGTTATTTCATTAAGTAATATTTACTGTACTTGGACTTCATTATAGATAGCTAGTTTGTTGTAGTTGTGAATGATGTTTGCTATTTGCTTTCTCTGTGTTAGGTGAGAACATCTCAGTGCACATGGATTCAGTTTGACGTAAGCTCCCTGAATTCATTCTTAGATTACTCTGTGGAACCCATGATGGAAAATGGAGTATTATCACTGGAAATATGCTTCTGGTTCCAAATCAAAATTGTGATATCAATACTTTTGTGACTTGTTAAAACTATTTTCCAAGTGTAGAGATATACAGATAAGTGGTCTTAATAGTTTTTGATCATTTTGATACCCTGAGCACCTTCAAAAATATTTCAGTTTAAGAATAATCAAATATTGAATGAATATAGTTTGGGTATAAATTATTGAGGACTCTTCACTTTTAGATAAAGGCTATAACTTCCAAAAAACTACAATTTGCTTCCTGGAAAAATTTTGATGTCTCTGTGATTCTGTCCATTATGCTTTATTAATTGTTTATGTAGTTTTTTCATTTGAATAGCTTAGATCTCATGTGCACAGTTGATATGTAATATGTTTTCTAGATTACTTAAATATCTTTGATCTTTTTCTGTAAGAAAATTATTTTCTTATATATTTTTTGTGTGTCAGGTAAAAGTAAAGCATTTATTTTTGTATTACCATTTTTTCATAATTACTCCTGATTTGCCATTAAGAAAGCTTAGGGGCGCCTGGATGGCTCAGTTGGTTAAGCATCTGACTCTCGCTTTTGGCTCAGGTCATGATCTCGCAGTTTGTGAGATGGAGCCCCAACTCGGGCTCTGTGCTGACCATGTGGATCCTGCTTGAGATCTCTCTCTCTCTCTCTCTCTCTCTCTCTCTGCCTCTCCCCTGCTCGTGTATGTGCTCTCTCTCTCAAAAGAAATAAACATTTTTTAAAAAGCTCATACTTAGTGAACCTAGTCTCTTTTTTAAAAAAAAATGTTGGTTTGCCAAAGTACTGACTACTTACAAACATTTCTGCTCAGTATCAGAGACTTGACATCAAACCCTGAAGCATATTGTTAAGTGTGCTTACTATCTTTGTTAGGTATAATTCAATACTCATTAGTTCTGTTGTTGGTTTAATGAAAACTAAAAAACATGTAGAAGGGCACAAAACAACAATATAGCAAACATTCATGTACCTACTACCCAAGTTTAATAAATCTTAAGTTTATCTTGTTTGTTTCAAATCTTTTTAGAGACAGAATGTTCTAGATGTAGTTGAAGTCAGTTTGTTTCCCTTCCTCATCCCATTCTCCACCCCCACCAAAAGGCAGCCACTTCTTTGAGGTTGAGATGTTTCAGTCTACCCACATTTTCTTGCTTTTACTACACACTGGATTTTGTAAATACATGGTAGAGTTTTGTGTGGTTTTTAAACTTGAGTAAAGCTGTCATTGTATACATGTCATTCTGCATTTTGATTTTTTCAATTCATCAGAATTTTA